TTTCTGTATCATTCGTAAGTTTGTTTTCTTAGGTTGCATTTGGTTCCAAGAAAAAAGGACCCTCTTGTTTGACTACTTCATTGTGTCAGCAGACTGTACAGCAACACACTCAAGGAAAACCTTCGTCTGGGGTTTCAGTGAGTAACTCATATCGACAAGCAAAGACCATAGAGTCGAAAGATATATAGTTTTATACATTTTCCTTACTTAGAATTTGAAAAACTTCAATGCAATCTAGGCGCAATGAGACCCAAGTACGAACTATTACACTAACGATATAAAATAAAAATACCGAGCTAAAACTTCGTCCAAAATAAATAACTCATATACCAATTGAAAGATGAAACCTTAATCTATGTACTCCTGAAAAGAAAATTAGAATATCTTTCCTCGTTTTGTCAGCAACGTCCTTCAAAGCTAACACTGCGCAGGTCGGTGCAATGCACCGATGTCGGTGGCATACGATTATTTAAAGGGTCGGTGCAGCACACGGATGTCAGTGCGGAAGGGTTAATGTAATCTCTTGGGTTGCTGGCAGTGGGATTTCTCAGACACCCTCTGTAATTCAATGACAGAGACATCAGAGCCCCCACCACTGGTTCCAGCTGGACCCACAACTCTGTCCCAGCTAAGCCCTCAGCCTCCCCACAAAATCATCTTCTTGTTGATGGACATCACAGACCCTCATTCACTCTTACCCTCGTAGGTACCTCATGAAAGCCCTGAGAGTTGACAGCTGCTTCCTCTTGGCAGAAGAGGCCAACAACTTTGCCACCCAGTGCCAGAGGAATACCTTCTCTTCGACTGCTGATGACAAGACATATATAGCCATCCACTGCCATTCACTTACAAGGACACTTAAACCCCCACTGCTGGTACCAGCTGGCCCCATAGCCAAATTCCAACAGAGGCCTCAGTTCCTTAAGGAAGAGCCTCCTCCACTGGCCTGTTACTTTGACAGTCTATCCATTTCTTCTTGATAGCCAGGTTACTCGCCCCTATCAAAAGACCTCTTAGTCTTACCCTCAGTGGACCCTCACTGGAACCCCTGGCAAATTTGACCGAGTCTCCAACCAGACAGCAGAAGACCAAACACATAAGCCTTCAAAGTAGGGAGATAAAGGCCTGCTCAGAACACTGTAGGTGCAGACCCTCCAACCACCCTGTCTTGCAACACTGACAGCAGAGAGACCCCACATGGCCCAGCTAAGACCCTGGACCCCCTGAGAGAGGAACCTTCCCATTTCCACTTCCTCTGCTATGTTTTCCATTTATTCTTCCAGACAGAATACTCATTCCCACCAAGAGACCTCTGTCAGGCATCCCTTCAATGAAATGTTGTAAATGACTGAACACAGCAGTCTAATGATATACCAAATAACTACAAGAATTCAGATATATAACAATGGGGTCATGGTGCAGTTTTTTCTTTGTGATTTATTTTATGATTCCAACACTGTCTAGAATATAGAAATGGTAGGTTGACTGACAAACTGGACTTCAAAAGTGGAGACTGTAGCCTAAATGAGGCATCATCTCAGCATTTATCTGGAGGGAATGAGGAAAACCGCAAAAATCCTAACCAGCTCAGTGGCACAGTGATTTTATTTAAACCACACTGAGTGTGCAAAATATGGTTTGTCTCCTTGCAAGTTTTAGCAGGGTATACCCAAGGTAAAACAAGATACAGGAAGCCAAGCTAATTTGTCCTAACCCAATATAACAAAAATCAAAAGCACTGTTAGATAAAAAAAATTAAACTGGCATGTATGACCATATATTTAACCCCTTGAGCGTGACTTTTAGCGGAGCCATTTAAATCCCTAAGCGTGTGCGACGCACCGTCTGTGGCCACTCAAAGCCGTGCTGTAAGCGTGCGTGCCGCATATATTGCGTCCAAACTTTTTACTAAGAATTCTTAACGCCTACGCTCTGATGTGTGTACTTCCAGTGAATGTATATGCCAGCTAACACTGACTTCTTTCATTCCTGCTATCTGTTTGTGTGTGGTATTTTTTTTACTCGCTTTGCTTGCGACAAAGCATCTGGTGTCTGCTGCTTACGAAAGAATTGTTCCAACTCACACTCCGACTTGCTTACAGAGAGATAATTTGTTAGCTAACTTTCATTGAGTGCTTGTTATCTGTGTGTGTATTTCTTTTTACTGGCTTGGCTTACTGGCGACAAAGAAGCTGTGTCTGATTTACGATGTAACGAACCTCGGGGTCGAAGTTGCCTGACGCCTGTGTCAACATTTATGAATCTGTTATTCCTTTTCTGCTTTGCGACACCCTCTTATCGGAGCCCCATGGCATTTGGTCACGTAACTTGTCTGGCGGGACAGTTTCTTGCCCCGACGCTAATAAAATAGCGCTTTCAAAAGTGGGTTCCCATAACTTCGAATGAAATTAGGATATTCCTAGGTTTCCTTATGCTGATGGGAATAATTCAGAAACCAAACCTCAGGATGTATTTTAGTAGGAAACATATGTTAGAAACACCATTTTTTCCCAGTGTAATGAGTGAAGAAAGGTTTTCATTGCCGACCAGATTTCTCCATTTTGTAGATAACACCAATAAGGAAATTGCAAAAAGAGATCCTAAATTGTACAAAATTCTTCCGGTAAGTGAATATTTGAAAAATAAGTTCCAGAAAGTGTACATACGGGGCAAAGAAGTAAGTGTCGATGAATCTTTGTTATTGTGGAAAGATAGACTTTCGTGGAAACAGTATATTCCTATGAAAGCTTCCCGGTTTGGGATTAAAATTTTTTAACTTTGTGATTCCACAGAATAATTGTGGAATTTTATAATTTACAGTGGATCAGGGATAAAATTAGGCTGTGAAATCACCAAAGACACAGATCTTTTCTCAACAAAAGTTGTTCTAAGTTTGTGCGAGGAAATATTAGACTTGGGCAGATGTGTTTTATATGGACAATTTTTATAGCAGTCCCGATCTTTTCCAGAGATTAGTTCAGAGGACAGCAGATGCTGTTGGAACAGTGAGTATCACGCGCAAAGTTATGCCAGTAGATCTAAAAAAGGAACTGAAGAAAGGAGTAGTTAGCGCAAAATGTGGGAAATTGGTGGCGTTGAAGTGGAAGGATAAGCGCGATGTCTCAGTGCTGACTACTAAACATTCAGACGAAATGCAACCCGTAAGTCGAAAGGGTGGGTTAGAATTTGTAAATAAACCTATGTGTGTAATAGAGTATAATAAATATATGGGAGGAACTGAAGAACTTGAAAGATCAGCTACTAGAAACTTTCTTGCTAGAAAGGAAAAGGCAAAAAGTGTGGTACAAGAAATTATTCAACCACTTAGTAGATACGACAGTGTTGAATGATTACATTCTCTACTGCAAGGCTGGTAACAAGAAAGATCATCTGTTATTCAGAATAAACTTAGTGAATAAGATCATAGCAAAGTCCCATGAACAGAATTTAGAAAAGGGCAAAGGGAGCCCTTCAGATACCGACATGGAATGTACGAGATTGACGGGTCAGCATTTCATTCAAAAAAATCCCAAAACCGAAATTTATAAAGTTGGAAGAAGAAGGTTTATGGTGTGTACACAAAACGGAAAGAGAAAAGAAACCAGATAGAGGTGTAAAAACTGCCCAGGGACACCGTCTCTCTGCCTAGACCCTTGTTTTGAGCAATACCACACCAAGGTCAACCACTACACACTGGATATGGAGAGCTGGGAAAAAGAAATAGCTTGACAAAATGTATATAGACATTTATAATAATGAACTGTAAACAACTGTAAATATAATATAATTTTTTGGAATTTTTCAAATAGCGATTTCGTTATTTAAAAATATTTAGGTAAATGTCTACACAAAACCTTCAGTGCTTGCGAAAATAAAGCACCGGGAGGGATTTAAATACCCCCGCATAAATGCACGCTATATGTATATAACTGAGCGGACGCAAATGGTGCGTCGCACACGCTTGAGGGGTTAATGCCACAGAGAATCAAAAATGATTTTTGCACATTTACAGCCTGTAGAAGCTCTGAAATCTTTTGAAATAAGTGACAGGTGTAACTAAGGCAGGGCTGTTCTTTAGAAAGGGGCAGGATCTTCCTGTTTCACATGTTAATTAATGATATTGTCAGTATCAATATTGTACAGTGTTGATAGCAGGATGATTAATAAATATCAAATAGTTTGTGGAAAGAGAACTGATAGAGGAAACTGAAGTACTCAGAGAAAATGTGTCCCAGTGACACTTTGTCCACCATAAACCCCACATGATCTGACCTGGGGCTGAACTCGGGCTGCTGAAGTGTCATCAGTGGACCTAGGCACAACAAATGGATACTGGATGTGGAAACATACAATGGCCTGTGACTGTCAGTGCATAATGATTATTCATTTGAAATTATGCTACCATGCAAATGTTGGCGTTCTACCCTTATGTTAGATTTTGTTTTTAGATATGCTTTTATGTTTACTTTTAATACTCATAGGCCTGATGATCCCAAAGATCTCGAGTACGAGACCTGCCAAACATAATGCAGATGTTTATGGCTTCACCCTCCCTCACTTTAAATGTCAGAAATATAAGGTCTTCAACACTGATTCATAGCCTGCATTAAGATGTAGGTCTCCTCTGCCTGCTATTATACTGTCATGAGGGATATTGGAGCCTGCCTTCAGGTTCAAACTCAGAAACTGACCCCATCACATTAACCAAATAAACCATAACTGACAGAATTACGCATGAAGGCATAAAAAAGCATAACTCTTATTGCTAGGAATATGAGTACAAAATCTAGTCCTTGCATAAATAATTGATTCCAGTTTGACAGACTGCCATCACATAAACTGTGTAAGACTAGGTTCTTTAATTGCATATATAAACCTCACTTATGGCACTTGGAAAAACGTTGACCAAAGAATCGTTTATAAATTAATTTCTTCACTTTCATTAGCAAAACAAACTTATACATACGAAAACTTATACTGAAGCTTCATGTTGTTCTTGATAACTTTCTTCCGTCCTCTACGTCCTTTTCTTGCTTTATTGGTAGGTGTCTCACTTCGTGAAGTATTGTCAGTTGTAGAAGTGCTCCCTACACTTGAAGTTTCATCCTAGAAGAAAAATATCTTTTCGTTAACGCTTACATAAAATTGTGTTTATTTTGGCACCCACTTCGTGGGCTATCACACTGAATTAAGCCTCATCTTTTAAGCAGTAACTTAATTCTAACCTCTAAAGTGTTTCTTGCAATAATATGTCACATAAGTAAGCTCTAAATAACAGTTACAGCACGTTCAATCCATCCTTGGTAGCCTACGGACTTGGTTAGAAATTCATTCTTACTGCATCATCTCCTGAATCTTCCGTATTTGTCGATGGCTCAGAATTAATATGACAGCTTTTCATTCCTTTCGTTTTCATCCAAGAAGACCCTGGTGACATCGCCACCAATCACAAACATAATCGCCACTGGCAGCCACCCGCCATACCCATAACCTCCGGTACTCCTAAATCATACCAAACAGGTTCATTCCCAAATTTTATGTTTCTGATCTTCTAATACTTTGTTAATAGTGATTCTACAAAAACAGTTTATCAAAACTGGCAAATTCCACAGTATCAGAGGACGACAAAACAAAAATACCAAAACCTAGACGCCTTCTACTTCGTATTTTCACAACATACTTCTAAAACAAACCCCCTAATGCCTTTACAGTGCATTACATAGCAGACATAGAGTCATTAGGGACGTACAGGAAGGGAGCAAATTGAGTGACATTAAATATCGCCAGATGGCAGATGGTTGGAGACGAGCGTAAGCTGCTCACGGGTCTCACGGGCTCACGGGTAACGCAGATCGACGCAGATGATTCAGATAACGTTAAACCACAGAATATGTTAAAGGCAAATACAGTAAAACTTGGTTATAGCAACATCGGTTTCTGCGACACCTTGTCTATTGCGTCAAATATTCAATGGTACGAACTAATTCCTCATAAAGCAACTGTTTTTATACCTTGCTTAGTACGACATGCACAAATGCATCAACCTCGTATGTAACGTCATTTTCATTCCTGAATTTCTCTGATATCGTGGGAAAGTTCGATGTGTCTGCCCACCCTCACTTTCTCTACTTGCTGACGTGACTGTCCTGGAAGAATACGACCGCGGGCTGCAAGAGGAGCGTGGGTTTTATGCGAAAACAAGGGTGTGGGGTGGGACTGCATGAATAGTGCAAGAGGACGCGGCAGGTTGTTAACTGCATTCCTTTCCTAGAATCTCGTCTAACAGGACCTCACATTGTCTACTTACCTTAGAGTGTTCCTGCCTAAACCCAGAGAAGTGCAGTAGCGAAAACATGGCAATGAAAGGGAAAGTTGTAAGCATTAAAGGGAAAGTTAAAGTGATTCGTGAAATATTGTGTGTATTCTCAGTGAAAAGCGCTGTAATATGTATTTGATATTACACATTTGGGCAATTCCACGTTAATGTTACGTTAGTCTGTACTTAACTACGTATTTCACTAAAAAAATGCAACATTTTAACTCGGTTTTTGGTAGATTTTTACGTGACTAACCTAAGGCTACAATGGAAGTGCCCATTTCGGTTACAACGACACTATTTTTAGGTCCCTTTGATGACGTTATAACCAAGTTCTACTGTAACATGTGTGGTCCCGGCGGTCTTGCAGGGTCCAGATCGTCCAGATGGTCTAGATGGCACAGATATTTATTCTTCGTAGATTATAAATGCACACGACTCCACAAAGAGAATTAGTGCCTCCCCAGTTGTTGCAAGACTGTTCCGTGCTTGAAAATATAATCAAAAACAATATTTTGATTCTGTGTTGTGTTCTTGTCGCCCGTATGGAACTTCGATTAATATTCACTCGACTTTAATTTGTATACAATATAACTGCATGTTTCGGCTTATGTTGGCCGCCAGGTGTACAAGTTTTGATGATGGAATCAGCTGCAGTGTTGTAATGTTCTGTTTTTCTTTTGTGTAAATTCCTCGGACTATTCTAGGTTTTAGGGGTTATCGTGCTATTGCGATGCGCGTGTTTCGTTTATCTAATATGTGATGGATTATATTTTTATTTTAAGGTACATATTTATGCATATTCTGTCTGCATATCTGATGTTACGTACTGTTTCGTTGGTTTGTTAATTTTCTTTGATTTAGTGTGGGGCTGTTCTAAATATTTTCTGTAGATCCTCGGTTGATTGAGATTAGCTCTTTCTAAGGCACAACTGAGTAGGTGTCTTCCTTTCCCACCTAAAGACGGAGACAGATCCCATTTCCGAAACGTCGTCTTCTCTATTACCTACAATTCCGGACGATGGAAAAAGTCCAAAAATCCAGTAATTCTGTGTCTACGAGACCCAACATAGTAGGTGTCTCTATCCCCCCTCCCATTTGAGGCCGGGAACAGATCCAGTTTCCGAAACGTTGTGTTCTCTGATTTTTAAAGTACCGGACGATGGACAAATTCCAAAAACCCAGTAATTCTGAGTATTATATCTTATCGGCAGAATACCTTAAAAACTACCGAACTACTTGCATGACATAATGATAATGCACATAGGCCAAAGTTAGTTTATTGAAAAAAAAAACATTTAAAATATGAATGGAAATTCTGACAATTTAGACAGCACATGCCTACTGGTGAACAGAGGCAAAATTCTTAATTTTATATGAATATGAAGAGAACATTTACTGTACTCAGCCGTTCTTAGATGTTCTGCTAAGTAAAGTTCAGTAATTTTAAACAAATAAATTGTATTACTATTTTCTTTAGACAGACTTGAGCGAAATGAGTTAATCTGTACACAGAGGATATATATTGTATAGCTTATTAAGTGCATACCTCAAAGCCACTGCACCAAAAGCCACCAATTGTTACTGTAATGTTTGCATTATTTAATACCCAGCTCTTGCTGGGGTAGGACAGGAGAAATGCCGAGACAATGAAACACTGTCGAACTGTAACCGTTCCCACCACAATTCACTTCATTTACTCAGGGTCCTACTTTATTTGAAATGCTTCATTAATTACTAATAGGAGTTAGGTTTTGAACACACCATCTAGCAGACAAGTAGGCTTGAGATCCCAGAGTGTATGAAAAGAATTGGATAATTATATGGGGCGACAAGTGAAGATGGTTAACTAACATTAAAATAATCCAGTCTAACCGCATCATAAATTACTGTTAAAATTTGCTTATACGTTCAGTGAACACTAAGTAATACAAATCATCCTGCTCAATCATCATTATTTGGCTATTACAGAATGTCAAAATAAGGAATATTGTATTTCTGCATCACATTGTGTGTGAGCAACTTTTATCGGTTCCAACACAATTTGTGTGTGTATCGGAAAGTTCCCGGACGAGGTCAAAAAGATATGCAGGGTTAGCTTACTCAATTTTGGCTGCCATCTCCTTTGGAACGTATATAGCGATCCCATCATTTTTTCAATGCTTCAAGGGCAGCGTGGAAGTAATTTTCCTTAATGCTGTCGAAGACAGTTTAACAAAACGTCCTCCCATCAGTTTCATTTTCAGTCTGGGAAACAAAGCGAAATCACAGGGGGGCAGAGTCCGGCGAATAGGGAACGACAACCATGTTATTGCTAGTCACAAACTCTTTGGTTTTCAAGGATGTGTGGGTGTGCGCGTTGTCGTGATGGAGAAGCCAGTTGTTGCGCCGAAGTTCCGGTCATTTCCGTCGCACAATTTCTCTCTGGCGTCTCAAAACGTTACAGTAAAAGTCAGAGTTGACCGTAGTTTTAGGATGAACAAATTCACGGCGAACAATCTCCTTTACATCGAAAAAACCAATGAGCATGTTCTCTGTTAAACTATGGACCTGCCGCGCCTTTTTTTGCTCTTGGTGACTAGGCTATTCCATTGCGACGATTGTTACTTTGTTTCTGGATCGTAACCGTAAATCCAATTTTCATCACCCGTTATGATCCTAGAGATAAAAGTTGGGTCCTCATTAGTCTTCTCTCGTAGCTCAAGACACACGTTTACGCGCCGCTGCTTTTGATAATTTGCCAAGAGTTCGAAAACAAACTTCGCGGTAATGCGGCGAATGTTCAAATTTTAAGATCACCTGGCAAATTCCATAAATGATCACAGTGGTGTCTGCGAGCTCATAGGTTGTTCGGCAACTATCTTCGTGGATAAGTTCTAGAGTTTTTTCAACATTTTCCGTCATTTTGCCGGTGCTTGGTTTCCTTGAACGTTCATCTTCAACTGACACTTGACCGGCCTTGAAACGTGAATGCAATTCAAAAAACGCTTCCCCGATTAAAAAAAATTCTCCAAAAGCCCCATGAACAATTCCAATGGTTTCAGTAGCGGATTTACCGAGCTTCATGCAGACACGTTGCACGATTTTTCCACCCATCGCAGACAAAACGAAACACGAAGTCGAAAAAGCACTCTTGTAAAAACAGTGTGTGTTCACAGCGCGCTGTCATGTAGCAAACTGATGCAATAAAAGTAAGGTAAAAAGTAAAGGTATCCCTGTAACAGGCCGTGGAAGCCTATAGGGTTGTGAGATGTTGAAGTTCCCACATTTTCTAGACAATCGGCTCATAGATGGCGGCAAGGTTGTCAGCCCTACGAGCCGGCCGCCCTTTACCCCCAAGAACATTCCAAGAATATTCCTGGTACTCATATCTGTTAAAGGCTGAGTCGACCCAGGGCCATAGTGCAGCTGGAAGGATTAGGTTAACTGAAAAAATCCAATGACCTCATGAGGACTTGAACCCGCAACCAGCGTCCAGACCACTCACCTCCACCTAGTCCTGAGGTCAAGAAAGTGGAGCTATGATATGTGTTAACAAAGTATTAAGATTAATTCTGTAGTGGAAGAAATGGGTACATTGTGGTGCCAAGACCATTATGAAATGATAGCCACATCTGCTCTCTACCTTCATTCCAAGTTTGAATATGGTAGCGTGAAGGCATGCGGTTCTGTTGTGGTTCGTGTAAATGTACTTTTTGTTACAGTGTCACAAAAATGGAGAAGAATGATTTCAAGCAACGTGATGCAATCAAGTTTTGTCAAGATGATACCTATGAAAAATGTTCAGAAAGCGTTTGGTTCTGATTCTGTCACATGCTCAAGTATCTTGTTGGCACAAATACTTTGAAAATGGGTGAAAAATGGTGGAAGACGAACCACAATCTGGCTGCCATGCTTCTGTGAGAACAAGCACAAACATTGACTATGTGAGGGCTTTCATTCATCAAGAGTGACGTTTGACATTTTGAATAATCAGCGATGAACTTAATAATAATCAATGTATGGTACACCAAATTGTTGTGCGAGATCTGAACATGACAAAAGTGTGTATATAGGTGATCCCAGAAAACTTTAATGATCAAGAAGCGTGTAGAAATGATGTGTAAGCAGAAATGCTTGAACAGCTTGAAACTGAACATTTTCTTAATTGAATCATAACAGCTGATGAAAAATGTTTTTTTGAATGTGACGCCGAAACCAAGAGAGGACTGGCACACGCCATCATGCACAACAGAATAAAACTCGCATGAGGACAGTGGTCATCATTTTTCAGTGCTCACAGGTAGCTCATGAAGAATGTGTACCACCTGGGGTCACAGTGAATCAAAAATATCTGGAAGGCCTGGACAATCAGAAAGAGGGTGATGTGAGTCTGAATGGTAATTGTAGATGATTGGATCCTTTGAGCTTCATCAGGACAACATGCCTGCACACACAGCACTATCAGTTCATGAAATTCTCGTGAAGAAGTGAATTCCTATGCTTCACAGGCTATTTATTCTCCAGATTTGACACCTTGTGATTTTTACTTGTTCCCAAAATTAAAATGAAAAGTCAAGGGCTATCATTTTCAAACACTTGACAGTGTTCAGAAGGCTGTAACCGATGACATCCAGACCCTAATAGAAGCTGACATCCAATCCAGCTATGAGGCGTGGAAAATTTGCTGGGCCAATTGTGTTGCATCAGAAGGATGTTATTTTGAAGGGGATAATGTTCATTTAGACGAATATTTGAAAGAATTATTTTGTTCAAAATTCTCATTACTTTGTTAACATAACTCAAAAGCATCCACTCCCCCATATCTTATGGCATTGTGCTTAAGTATGGACAACTTTACCTTCTTTTTTTAACCTTTCTTCTGATGTCACAAGTGATGTAGTACAATTTTATATCAGTTTTTCGAGAAGACACTGTGTCTCGAAAGAGACAGAGTGGTAGTGGGCTTGATGATTCATTATCCAAGCTTAGGTGTGATACCCTTCCACCTGTTTGCCATCTCCCCTATGGAACAATATACATGAAACGGAAGTATGTCTTAAACTGAAAAACAAGAAAAACATCTGTAGCAGTTAATAGCTACAATACTGTTTCTAACAAACATAAACTTAACCACTGTGATTCACTTCTATTTCTTAAATTTCCATCAAAACAAGCAAAGTCTTGCTGGATTCAAACCAAGGGAGATGGCACAAAATGAAACTGCAAACAATGTAACCCAAATCAAACAGGACATCTCCAGTACCTTTGCAATGAAAGGGACATATGCTATAGTTAACTTAATGCAGAACTTTGAAAGTAGTCTTGGAATAAAATCCAAATTTGCAAATTCATACTGAATTCAGTAACTGATATATTGTAATTGATCTTAAAATCTACATAATTACTCGGTAACATTCGTCTGATACTTTCCACAGCACAAGGAAGATTCAGTACCACTCACTAATTTAAATAACAGCACCAAAATACAAAGACAGAGCACTGGAAATTTAACACACAATATTAATAATACAGTTCCATTAACAATACAACTCTATTATTTTTTCCTTTCATTTTCCCTCTCACAACATGTTTTGGCCCTTATCAGGTACCTTAATTGCCAAAACTCTTATACTGTATTGAATATCACTCATTCCCTTCATGTGTAACTGCAATATTCCATGATATTAATGTTGTAGTCAACATATACCTAACATTAATTGAATTATCATATGCTGTAATTTACTTTCTATTAAAATTTAAATTTTATTTTTCTTTTTTCTTAAAATTTGTAAACTTATTTTTATACCTCACTATGGCGTCGTCCGCTTTTCCAGACAATATATATTGATCCTCTCTTTGGATGTTTACATTGTTGCAGCCTGTTGTTTTCTGTACATAAGCCTGTTGCTGTTGTTACTTCTGCAATGTGCAAAAGCCCACATTTATTATTGTTTCTGATTTTTGTTACTAGTGTTATTTTATGTTCGTTTATTTTTCTACTCACTTTGCCCCTTGTCTGTACATCCTCTCCACCAGCGTACAGTGTTGTCCTCTACTATAGTAGTGTGCGTGTGTAGTGTGCTTGCTTCCGTATTTATAGTGTACCATGGTGGGGGAGGTGTGTGTACTGTTATCTTATGTAAATTTTGTGTAACGCTTTGAATATGGGATTGTGTGTATCAATATGTGTATTATCCCTACTGATTTGGTAAGTGTGATATCTTCCAATGTATCCTGCAAATCAATGATATGCATATTAATATACACAATCCCATATTCGAAGCGTTACACAAAACTTACATAAGATAACAGTACACACACCTCCCCCACCATGGTACACTATAAATACGGAAGCAAGCACACTACACACGCACACTACTATAGTAGAGGACAACACTGTACGCTGGTGGAGAGGATGTACAGACAAGGGGCAAAGTGAGTAGAAAAATAAACGAACATAAAATAACACTAGTAACAAAAATCAGAAACAATGAATGTGGGCTTTGCACATTGCAGAAGTAACAACAGCAACAGGCTTATGTACAGAAAACAACAGGCTGCAACAATGTAAACATCCAAAGAGAGAATCAAAATGTATTGTCTGGAAAAGCGGATGATGCCCTAGTGAGGTATAAAAATAATTTTACAAAATTTTAAGAGAAGAGAAAAATAAATTTTAAATTTTAATAGTAAGTAAATAACAGCACATGGTAATTCAATTTAAGTTAACTAGATGGTGACTACAACATTCATACCTTGGAATATTGGAGTTATATGCAAAGAGAAGGAGTGATAATACAGTATACGAGTTTTGGCGAATTAAGATACCTGATGATGGCGGGTTGGGGCCAAAACATGTTATAAAAGGGAGACTGAAAGGGAAAGAATAAAATAGTTGCATTGTTGCTGGAACTGTATTATTAATATTGAGTGTAAAGTTATAGTAATGCAACAGGATGATTAAATACAATATAACACAGCACTATATCTGTACACAGAAGGGTACATAACAGAGGTAACAACACCATCTGTGAACACTGCCCACATATTTTTCATAAAACAAAAGAAAAGAAACATGCATATACAAAATGTCAGTCTATAACAATAAACTCTTTTTTCCTTACTCTGCAGAGTTTTCACATCTATGATTCTCTAAACCAACTTCTGTGCGGAAGTTTTTGCCACATACTATGCAAGAAAAGAAACGCTGTCTGAAGTGAAGTTTTCTGTGATGCACAATGATATCTTCTGGAAAAATCTGGTTGCAGTATTCACAAATATTGTTTCTATTTTCTTCAATACTGTTATCGGTCTTGATGGTAACAGCTTTATGTGTGGAGGTGGGAGTGGAGCACTTAGTGATGGAGCTCACAGTATCGCTTGTTTGGACACCTGTGGTAGTTGAGGATTTCCCGATAGTTAAGGGTGAATTAGAGGTTTGTTCATTGATTGTGACAAATGTAGAGGGAATCTCTACCCTCACAGCAGAATCTGAATATGGATCTGCTGTGCTGTTCATAGAAGTTGCAACAGAAGTTACTGTACTGAAGGTTGAAGTTGTAGTAAGGGTTGACGATGGAGCAGTGGCTGTTACCATACCAAGAGTACAATTTGAAATAGGAGCACTTATTCCTATTCTGGATACAGCAGGCTCTCCCATACTGTGAACAGAAGTTCTATCAGCAGCAGATGGAGCATGTACTCCAATGCCCATTAAAGAAGTTGCACTGGGGGTAACGATGGAGAGAGTAGTAGGGACGTTCAAACTGACAGCACCAGCCGTGGGAACTGTTGCAACTCTTCCACTAGAAATCGCGGAAATAACTGCACTTGTAGTGGCTGTGACAGCAGCATCTAAAGAAATGCCTTCGGCGTGAACACGATGACCACTGCAGACAGTAAAATAAAGTAACAATGATCTTAAAAATCACCCAACACTATTTTTTACACAATATTAAGAAAAGCAGAATTAAACAATAAATTTCATAACAGTAACTCAGTAAGAAACTGGCTCATTGCAAGCAATTATATACATACATTTTTATCAGTGTTAAACGGAAATATGTACAGGAATGAGTGATGTATATATTATAGGCTGATCTCAAAATGTGGGCAAATCATGATGCGAACACTTGTTTTGTGTAGATGTACATGTCACTGAATAACGAAAGACGTATACATTTCAAATCAGTACTCTTATCTGTTTAAGTTCTATATCCATTTGTAACTTACTTACTGACTTACTCTCATATTTGATGCTCAGCATAATTTTACGTTGTTCAGGCTCTTACAGAGGAGACAAGGTTAAACAACTAGTAATGATATAAAAGTGAAATGCAAATCAAAATTAAAAAAATCTGCAGATATGTCATTCTAGTATTATATTTTAGCATCCCATTGCATTGAGGCAATATTCTTATTATGAAAGTACACGTCAATAATGCAACAATATAAAAGATATCAAGAATATGTCACTCACTAAAAATGTATTTTAATACTTTATGATGTTAAAATCATTAAAATGTCAATAGGTCACTAAAATTATATTTTATACATTAAAAGTGATTATCAACATTTCTGAAATGTCACTAGTTTTACATGTATTTTTTCTAGTTTTAAGACATGTTTCGGACTCACATGGGCCATCATCAGGTGATCTATCTCGGCAGACCACTGCACTGTTCACTTGTCCACTGTGCTCCCATGCATGTCAATGTTCAATTCAATCTCATGACTAGACGTTGCACTCTTTTATGGCTATTTGTACACAGAAAGACCGCAAAAGTGACACATAAAAAAACTCCATGGCTCAAGTCCACCGCTTGTCGGCAAAGTTAGTGCCAACTTAATTGATAGAGGGTGTCACGTGGTCAGCGCAACGAATCCCCATGTCCATTAATCTTGGTTTTCTAGACCAGAGCCGCTATTTCCTTGAAATATCAAGTATTACCACGAGGCTGAGAGGACCCCGGTCCAGATTCAATACTTCTCAGAAAATCTGGTAGCGCCAGGAATCGAACCTGGGCCTCTGGATCTGTAGGCAGGAACTCTGACCACTAGAACAGAGAAGTGGTCAATAGTGACACATACACAAGAAAATACGACACACAAAAACTACAAATAGCCGCAAAAATGTGAAACGACTAGTCATGAGATTGAACTAAACATCAACGTGCATGGGAGCATGGTGAACAAGTGAACAGTGCAGTGGTCTCCCTAGAAAGAAAAATCACCTGATGACAGCCAATGTGAGGCCGAAACATGTAGTAAAACTAGAAAAAATACATGAAAACTAGAGACATTTAAGAAATTCAGATAATCACTTTTAATGTATAAAATATACTTTTAGTGACCTATTGACATTTTAATGATTTCAACATCATAAAGTATTAAAATAAATTTTAATGAGTGACATATTCTAGATTTCTTTTATACTGCTGCATTATTGACATGTACTTCAATAATAAGGATAGTTCCATTCCAGGCACATAATGAAGAATATATATAATCAATTCATATGAGAAATTGAGAATTCAAGCAGAGAATTGAAGAAATAGGTGCTTTGTCCAGGTTTTATGAACTTGAGAATTGAAGCAGAGAATTGAAGAAATCATACTTAGTACAGGTTTTATTATCCTTACTGATTTGGTAAATGTGATAATTTTCCAATGTGTCCCCCAAATGAATGATACACATAATCCCATATTCAATGCAGTACACAAAATTTACATAAGATAACAGTACACACAACTGCCCAACCTTCCCCAGTCAACCATACACTATAAATACAGAAGCAAGCACACTACACACGAACACTACTATAGCAGAGGACAACACTGTACGCTGGTGGAGAGGATGTACAGACAAGGGGCAAAGTGAGTAGAAAAATAAACGAACATAAAATAACACTAGTAACAAAAATCAGAAACAATAATAAATGTGGGCTTTTGCACATTGCAGAAGTAACAACAGCAACAGGCTTATGTACAGAAAACAACAGGCTGCAACAATGTAAATATCCAAAGAGAGGATCAAAATATATTGTCTAGAAAAGCTGATGATGCCCTAGTGAGGTATAAAAATAATTTTACAAAATTTTAAGAGAAGAGAAAAATAAATTTTAAATTTTAATAGTAAGCAAATAACAGCACATGGTAATTCAATTTAAGTTAACTAGATGGTGACTACAACATTCATACCTTGGAATATTGGAGTTATATGCAAAGAGAAGGAGTGATAATACAGTATACGAGTTTTGGCGAATTAAGATACCTGATGATGGCGGGTTGGGGCCAAAACATGTTATAAAAGGGAGACTGAAAGGGAAAGAATAAAGTAGTTGCATTGTTGCTGGAACTGTATTATTAATATTGAGTGTAAAGTTATAGTAATGCAACAGGATGATTAAATACAATATAACACAGCACTATATCTGTACACAGAAGGGTACATAACAGAGGCAACAACACCATCTGTGAACACTGCCCACATATTTTTTATAAAACAGAAGAAAAGAAACATGCATATATAAAATGTCACTCTATAACAATAAACTCTTTTTTCCTTACTCTGCAGAGTTTTCACATCTATGATTCTCTAAACCAACTTCTGTGCGGAAGTTTTTGCCACATACTATGCAAGAAAAGAAACGCTGTCTGAAGTGAAGTTTTCTGTGATGCACAATGATATCTTCTGGAAAATTCTGGTTGCAGTATTCACAAATATTGTTTCTATTTTCTCCAGTACTTTTATCAGTCTGGGTGGTAACAGCTTTATGCGTGGAGGTGGGAGTGGAGCACTTAGTGATGGAGCTCACAGTATCGCTTGTTTGGACACCTGTGGTAGTTGAGGATTTCCCGATAGTTAAGGGTGAATTAGAGGTTTGTTCATTGATTGTGACAAATGTAGAGGGAATCTCTACCCTCACAGCAGAATCTGAATATGGATCTGCTGTGCTGTTCATAGAAGTTGCAACAGAAGTTACTGTACTGAAGGTTGAAGTTGTAGTAAGGGTTGATGATGGAGCAGTGGCTGTTACCATATCAAAAGTACAATTTGAAATAGGAGCAATTATTCCTATTCTGGATACAGCAGGCTCTCCCATACTGAGAACAGAAGTTCTATCAGCAGCAGATGGAACATGTACTCCAATGCCCATTAAAGAAGTTGCACTGGGGGTAACCATGGAGAGTGTAGTAGGGACGTTCAAACTGACAGCACCAGCCGTGGGAACTGTTGCAACTCTCACACCTGCCAAGGCTCTTCCACTAGAAATCGCAGAAATAACTGCACTTGTAGTGGCTGTGACAGCAGTATCTAAAGAAATGCCTCCGGCTTGAACACGATGACCACTGCAGACAGTAAAATAAAGTAACAATGATCTTAAAAATCACTCTTTTTTTAAATAATACAAAGAAAAGTAGAATTAAACAATAAATTTTATAACAGTAACTCAATAAAAAACTAGCTCATTGCAAGCAATTATATAAATACGTTTTTATCAGTGTTAAACAGAAATATGTACAGGAATGAGTGATGTATATATTATAGGCTGATCTCAAAATGTGGGCAAATCATGATGTGAACACTTGTTTTGTGTAGATGTACATGTCACTGAATAACGAAACACGTATACATTTGCTCAGGTCCCAATTTGCCTTACATGCAAGGGCAGATACTAAAACAGACTCCGTGTGAACACATTACAACACCTCAAGTGGGTGGTACTTCACAAATCTCAATCACAAGAGCAAATATCCTTATTAAGGTTATTTGTGGTTCTTTTTCTCCCTCTTGGTAAATTCAAGGACAGTACTAAAAATCAGGCCACAAATGCTCCCTTCCACATCCCTTTCAGGTTATTAAAGGCACTGGCAGATCCTAAAGAAATTTAACATACTGTTACTTTGCAATCAAGCAGTTTGCACTGCAGCTTTGTACTTGGGAGACCGTATGTTAATATACTGGTCAGACCAACTATCCTGTCTGAGGATTTGTGTAATCTTCCAGGAAAAGTACAATCACAAGAGTTTTAATATAAAATTTTTTAGCATACTGCAATATGCCAAAATTACTGACAGTAAAAGCAGCTTCCTTTGCTAAGGAAAGTATTTCTACTATTGAGGACTGAGGAGTTACAGTTACCACATGGATTTCATTATATCTGATGCTCAGCATAATTTTGTGTTGTCCAGGCTCTTGCAGAGGAGAGAAAGTGAAGCAACTAGTAATGATGGCCGCGCCATAGCTCAAGTGGTTAGTCGCTGGCTTCCCACTGTGGCGGCCTGGGTTCGATCCCAGGTCTGGTCAAGTGGGATTTGTGGTGGACAAAGTGGTGCTGGGGCAGGTTTTCTCCGAGTACTTCGGTTTCCCCTGCCAATCTTCATTCCACCAGTTACTCCACAATCACCCTCACCTGTCATCTGGGGCTGGTACAATAGGTCAGAAGTGGCCGCAGTACAAGGAGGGACTTAGTCCCACCCCACTAGCAATAAAGAAAAAAAAACTAGTAATGATTTGAAAGTGAAGTGGGACTCAAGATTAAAAAATATGCAGACATGCAATTCTAGGCATTTAATGAAAAAGAATATAATGAATTAATATGAGAAATGGAGAATTCAAGCAGAGAACTGAAGAATTGTGCTTAGTATAGGTTTTAACAATTTGACCAGTCACTTTGGCTGTTCCAGTTTTTATCATGCATTTTTGGTCACATCCTGACTTGCCCATACACATTACAATATGACCAGTTTTGGAATTTGTCTGTAACATATTTACCAATGGATCATACTACACTAAAACTAATCACTAGTACTTCATTCTAAATGCTTACAAACTTGTAACTTATGTCAGGTCCTGTAAACACTGTTAGACTATACAAGATACTTTCCTGATATCAGAAAACCACAACCTTCGGCACCTTAAAAGGCTTAATGTGTGTACTCGCACATACATTTTATCTGACTATATGCAATGAAGACAATGGTGAACCTGCCAAATTTAATAAAGTGTTATAAATTGGTTTGAAATGGAATCAACTGCACATTTATAATTTAAAACTTCAAAATGAGCTATATGGTTCTCTCAATTTTATAAAGCTTTCTTTCATGTATAAGTAAGTATATGACTTATATGAATGAATGAATGAATATATCCAAATTAATCAAAGTGTTCGTTGTAGTGATAAGAGCTAACCTAAGAGTGTATGTTACAATTTAAATAATTAACCAACACATGTCTTTGGCATCATACCTTGAATATAGATGCTGACCCCCAAAATCCTTTGTCTGCTGATCAGAAACAATGGATGTATTATTCTGAAGAGGATTAGAAATGTAAATATGCTGACTGCTTCTCTCCATTACTGGAGGCACACCTGCTATTTGGTTAGCTTCAACAGCAGGTAATTGTAACAATGACGCTGTTTTCACACCAATCTTTCCTTTCAATGAAGATGAAGTGTTAACTGAAACCAATTTTTGCTGCTGAGGAAGTACTACACAACTAGGTGTAGTAATTAAAACATCTGAGGATCCTTTTAGTCTTTCATTGTCAGCAAGAAATACTGGTCTAAAACCTGACCTCAGATGTGTTTCATTAGACTTTTCTCTTCCAATAGGTTTCTGATGGTTCAGTGAAGTGTACTGCTGGTGCTGTATTGCTTGTCCTTGTTGAATGGACTGGTGCTGAAGTGAATCTTCATGTGAACATAATTGTCCACTTAGCTCTAACCTCTCTTTCAACATTTGTTGTTGTGGTGAGAAGGATGTTGTTGGATTTCCTGGTGTAATTATAAGACTTACGCTGCCAGCCATCAAACCTCCTTGCTCATCTGTTGATGAGCTACACTGTGAGTCAGGGATGTAAACTTGTGGCTGTCCTATGGTGTTCTGAGTTGGTTGCTGAGCCATTACTGGTACTGCAGAATCCTTGGAAGACAAAAACTTTACATCCTGACTGGATGTATCACCCAACTCACTCGATGTCACAGCAAGACCTGATGATGATGAGCTAGATACTGTCTGGGTTTCTACACTAGAAACAGTCTGCAGGGTTCCCAAGAATTGTTTTTCTCTATTGACAGGAACGCTACCCACAAGCTGGCCAACTGATGATGTTTTAGACACCATACCAGATGTTCCAAACTGCTGCTGTGATGGAGACACTGTACCTACATTTCCATCTATATACATCTGGTCAGATGGTGTCACAGTATATGCTGACAAGTTTTCAGTTGGCAGACCCATCTGGGAAACCTGTTGTGCAGCCTGTGTACTCCCCCCACCACCACCACCACTACCACTATTATCATCATCATCTACTGGAAGGGACGACAGTGGAGAACAAACAGTGTTGGAATCATCACTCTCAAGTTCAAAAGTCAGGTTATCATGTCCTTCACTCTTAAGTCTTCTTACTTTTACTCCTGGCTCAGGTATATGTTCATTACTCCTCTTTTTACTTGAAGTATCTCGCAGTTGTGTTGACTGCCATGGAGAACCAGCAGAGTTTCGATCATCATCAAGCTCCAAATTCAGGTTATCATGCCTTTCACTCTGAAGTTGTCTTACTTGCAGTCCTGATTCTGGTATATGTTTATCATTCCTATTTTTACTGGAAGCATCTTGCAGTTGTACTATAGTTTTGCCAAATTTCATGAAAGGTTTACTCAGACTCAGTGTAGGCAGCTGCTGCGCCAAAAAGTTTGTCTGAAAGAAATTGTTAATATTAATACCTTAATCTAATAATGTACTTCATGCAGACCAAATACACATACAGTACCTACTATCAACAAGTAAGGTAAAAACATAAAGTCACCCCTGTGCTTAATTAATTAAGCAGCATGCTAAAAAGACATATAGGAGAGTGGATGTACAGCTCCGTCATTTTGACCTTGGCACCAAATGGAGGCGAGTGCTCAGCTTCACGCTCTGGCTGCTATACTCCCGGAACCCAATGGAAGGAGGCTAGTTGGACCCCAGACCTGTCCTAGACGCTGTCAAGAAAACAAAGATCTCTTGCTCTACTGGGAATGAAACCCCAGCCATACAGCCTGTAGCCCATCAATATAATGACTGGGCTATCCTGGCTCCCCACCTACTCTAAGTAGAGCCCAGATATTAACCCATCCATACAGATGCATGCATGCATATATAAGCAAAGTCAAAAGGTATCCAAGCTTAGTTTCCAGTACTTTACCCCATGTCCTCTTTGAAGTATCCCCTCCTTCTGCTACCACTCAGTTCTCTTATCAGGCATACCACTACTGAATGCAGTCCTTCATACCTTTGCTTTCTGAGGTATGTCACTGCATTATGGCGCAGTCTTTCTGCTGAGTCAAACCACTGTCAATTCAAGACTGATTTCATCCTTGCATGGGGGAAAAAGTAGGTGCAGGTCTAAGAAGGGTGGGCATGGCAAAGATATTCCATCTTGCCTGAGAATCAATGGCAATAAATAGCACATACTGGGAAACTGCTACAATGCAAAACCACTTCCTGCCTTGTCACAGATGAAAGCTCCTTGACTGAACAGCATCTCACAGGCAATGAAACAGTTCTTTCTAAATTTACTTGCTGAAATACGTACAATCACCTAGTATTAATTTGTGATGGACTGTAATTAATTTTTACAGCTCCCAGCTGCATACCAATTGTGTTAACAGGCATCCCACTAATGTCAATCATCTTGTGGTAACAAGGGTCATGTTAGTATGTATGACTGCCGTGGTAAACCCCCTCACTATATAATAGTCTAAGCGGCCTCCATAGTCTAGGGGTAACGTTCCCACCTCATGACTCAAGGTATGCGGGTTCAAACCCAGCGGAGGTCGTGGAATTTTTAAGGGCGGAAAAATTCAGGGAACAAGTCCTCCAGGAGGGACTTTAAGCTGTGTGTCCCGTGTCGCAGATTTACAGCACATAAAAGAACCTCATGTCTCTAGGAGACCTCTGAGCTAAATTACAGGCCCTTTCCCACCCAAGTAGTCTCCAATGCCTCTGGTGGATGGGGGAAGCATCAAGGTACCGGGGACCGACCTCATTGGCTCTATGGGGACTGATGGCACGCACCGTTACTGGTAGGGTATGGCAACAGTAGAAATTAAAGGGGGACGCACACTAGACCAATAACTGGTCTAAGTGCATGGGGAAATCAACGCCCTCTCATAATACATACATACATATCATAGTCTATGAATCTACTTACATTTTTTACAGTGTCAATCTCACACCTGTCAGTGTATGAACTAAATTATTTATTTTATGTTTCAAACTGACCACCTAAATTTCACCTATACCAAATCTTTTTTTGTGTTCTCAAAGTCATGGAACCAAACTGAACTTCCAGTCTATCAAAATTTCAGTTCTGATCCCTCCATGCTCTCTTGCTAACAAGTTTAGTCTTGGCCAGTTACTATTACAGCACTGTCATCTTGACAACTCATTTAAATCAAGATGATCTTTGGATCTATCATGTAAAACACACACTGCTTGCCATTTCTCATGATGTTTTATTAAAATAAATCTGGAAATGTCAGCTGCTTTTACTCTGTGCTTTGAAAATTACTGAAAACTTTAACAAAATAAATATATCTCTATTTCCAAATACCAATTACGAAATTTAATACAAAATTAAAATTCTTAAGATTTATATAAATGTAACTGGTATAAATGAACAATGAAAACAAAGTGATGCAATAATGGAAAAGGAGCTGAGTTCACATCTACTGATTCCTAATTCCATACAGAATGATTTACTGTGTTTAACTCAATAATTCATTCTCCCCTTTCACTTGATTTTTCATTTCTAAAATTAGGAGGCAAAAATTAGTTAAAAAAATATGACAAACTTTCAGAACATGAAGACTGCACTGAATTTTGTATATTTAAAAAAATACAAATGACTTTTGTTATTGTATTCCATTCCTAAATTACAAAAGGTTCAATTTCATTTCAATCTGATTACAAGCTTCATGTTACTAGCAAAATTCTTGGTTCTAGACATATAACCCCTTCATCTCTGCACACAATACAGAAACTATGAGAAAAAAAGAGCGAGAAATTATGCAAAAAGGAAATAAAACTACTTAAAGAATTTTAGGATGAAAACTGCCTATGTAATTATGCATCACCTAGAACTTGTCCCAAGTAATAGCTTGAGTTCACCTCTAACAAATAAAACTGTACAACAGCTTACATCATTTGGGACTTGTTCGATTACATGTATATCATCTTGTGGCTTAGGGCGGGTGAAAATCTTCAACAGCCTCTTGATTGTATTCTGTGCATTCATGCATCCTGAATATAATTCATAGCTGGTGTCCAACTTGTTCAGGCAGCTCAGACATATCTGTTTTGGGAATTCATCATCTTCCTTTACCTGATGACAGAAGAATTATATAAACACTCTGAATTCAGGCTCCCAGACTGTGCCACGGCATCCAACGTGTTTTTTAAGTTACAGATATACATAAGGTGTAGTGTATTACTGGCCAAAAACACTAAAGTTAATACTTCCTCTATCTAAATAATGCTGACAACACTTCCTGACCACTAAAATCTTTATCAGTGTAACTGTATTTGTAATGTAATGTATTGTACTGCATTGTATGGTGACGACTTGGAGGGAGGAGAGAACTGTTCAGTCAACCCAAGCACCCTGACCACTACTGGGTCCACTGTGGCCCCAGACCTTGCGAAAGTGAGACTGGGGAAGGGCCATTCTGACCTTATTTAAGATGTTGGGAAACATGCCACCTGGTTCCAGTGAAAATTACTACAATCAAAAGAGCAAAAAAGGAATTATATTCAAGAATACATCCCTTCCATAATGCAGGTGCATGCTATACTCCAAAATATTAATTCAGTATACCCCTGATTTGCTGATCATGGTGGCCGCATGGTCTAAGGCATGAATGGTCTTCACTCATTGAAGCTGGGATAATGGGTTCAAAATCAACTCAAGGCATGGATGTCTGTGTGCGGTTATCCTGTGTGTAGGTAGCAGCCTTGCGATGGGTTGCCCACTCATCCAAGGAGTCCTACTGACTATGTAAAAAAAGATTACGAAACTGAAGAAGAGGCCAGGGCCCAACAAAGGGCTGTATAGAGCCAGTGATGCATGAATGAATGAATGAATGAATGAATGAATGAATGAATATCCTTGAATTACATGCTAATAAAGGGGCAAAGACACGCAAATAATCCAATATATAGTTGAAAAAAGAAATTTGGAAAACTGTAAGACTTACAGGAAAAGTAATTTCATCCAGTGTATGGATTATTTGAATGCACTGTCACAGAAAAAATCACAGGGATTTAAGTCTGAAGGCCCTGTAGGTCACAATCTGTGACTTTTCAGTCCTTAAAACACCTCATTCATAACATTTACTAAATAATTAGCGTGGTATGTTGACCTTTGTCCTGTCTTTCTTCAGTAATTCGCAACAAATGGCTATAAAATGTCACTAACATATCACTCTGAAAACAGTGTTCAAAACTTTAGTCCTACTATCTCTGTAGCAGTAATGGCACACCACACACTGCATAGTAACACTAGCTAAAAGTCTCCTTCCTAGTCCATTTATCACTAAAAGTACATTCAGATACTATTTGTCTGTTCTTCTCAAAGTTGGAGCAGGCAGACTCAGCTGCCCCAACTACAGTAAGAACATTTCAAACCCTCTGAAACTGCTGAATCTGACAGGCAGAAAAGTCAGAAACTCATTCCATCAAGTAAGACTATGGAGAACTGTACAGCAAGCAGAACCAACAAACCAATATGCTATTGATAAAAGTAAACCCAATTATAGCAGATTCTCTGTTGTTCCACATGCATACGTGGTATCTCCACAAAATGTTTAAATTTAAATGTTGAACTTTTTTGGAGTAAACTTCAAACCTGTCATCAGTCTTCCACAAAAGGTGCCCGAGGGATTTCTGAGGAGAACGTTGATACACAGCATTGATTTCATCTAACTTCTCATCAGTGGGCACTTGTCACTTAGATTCTGTTTGTTTTTTTTTTTTTTTTTTTTTGTCCAGTACTGACCCTAGAATTTTCTCATTTTTCTTGCCAGACCATTTTTTCACATGGGCACCATACATGAACTGTACCAATATGCATTTCATGCATGGAATTTTGACACAGAAAATGACATAACCGAATGAATGACCACTCATCACACAGGTAAAGAACAGAAGCAAGAGATAAAGCAATATGGGACTCAGGTTGAGGGCTTGTCAATAAACACATAACTCAAAAATCTTCCAGGGCTATCAGGCATGTCAGTTGGTTAAAAGTGACAGATGTTTCTGAGCCCATCTCTATCATCATTACCAGCCAGTGATGCCACACTGGATCCAAACAGTCCCATCTATATACCAACTCACAGACCATGACCGAAATAGAGTGTCAGCCAGTGGAGGGCTAATAGGCAGTCATGGGTTTGCTTGGCTTGGTCTTGTCTCTGGAGACAATCATATCACAAAAGAAATAACAATACGTTCACGTATCCCTATAAAATGTAACGACCAATTACCAAAATCTGATGTATGCTTCATATTTTACATAGCAACAGGCAGTAAAACTCAAATTTCGATGCAATTATATGTGGTCACTCTACTATAAAACTATTCCTGTGTTTGTTGGAATACATTTCAGGATTATCATTGGCACCACTCCCAGCTGACACTGATGTGAGCCTACACAACAAAAAGTTTGGGGCACTCAAGAAAAACAGCATACAACCACTCTCACAATATACCATGTGCTGTGAGTCTAAAAACATAAACGTAAACAATAGGTGTTCACCAGAACTTACAGCAATAGGTAAACACAGCCGTATTTTCTTCGATATATTATTTTTTACTCCATCCTCGCCAAAAATATCGACGCAGAATTTATCTTCTTTTGCGCATAATCTGCAAATTAGTTTAATGTTAGCAGACTCCATTCCTCATAAAATCCCTTTTCTTGTTTAAAGTCAACTACGGCGCAGTCATTCCGTACCGTTCCATACTACGTAAACAATGTTACAGCCGTTTACACTTTCAATGGCGGTTACCGCTGATGCAGGAAGCCACGTTCACCATTTTCCAAACAATTTACCAGCGAATTATGCAACACAAAGACTTTTGTGCATAAAATAGTATAGCGATTTAAAGAAGGAGATAATGCATAATCTTACATCAAATCTGGCAAAATAAATCGCATAAGCCCAAACTATGCACTACACTTTGTTACCACAGGTTAGCCAACATCTCCAACTACGGATAATCTACACACTTGCTCACTATATTGCATCCATGAGAACACTGTCCTGAAAAAAAAATTAAAAGGCTGTATGGTAACTCCTGTTGTTCAGTATACGTTCACAATACAACGCAAAAATGTACGTAAAAATTCCATATACCTCATAACTTACAAGTTCACTGAAAGGTCGTAATGAACTGTGCGGTCACTTCATATCGCTTAAGTGCAGATACGAACTTTCGTATGACTACTAGGCTGGTTTCCACGGACGTCTTTTACGTGCTTTTTAAAAATGAAAGAAACCTTTTAAATCTTCATAAAGAAAGTCAGATTTCATCGTAAATATAAACTGTACATGTCATAAAAAGGTAAAGTAAAGTAAAGTACCATGCGCCATGAAGGCGCATGGGGAAGTGGATGTATAGATTCACCTATATAATTTACGTCCATGTGATATGTTAATGCCTGACAATTTGATGCTACGGTAAAGCGAAATTGCGAGTTTAAGAATTTACACTAATACTTACAATACAATATATATATATATATATATATATACACGATGTTTGCGTATATACTCGTAAGTAACAAATATATACTATATATATACGTGTATATGAATATTTTATACATTAACCCTCTATATGGGAGCAACCATAACAGTGCACCCTTGTGAATACATTTAACTAAATTCATGGAGCTGAACCCTTCTTGAGGGGCCGCCAATTATGCAGCTACTCAAGAACTTCCTAAATGTTCGAAGTATGTATAGGGGAGGTTAGCTTAGGGCAGTGGCGGAAGAAATCTTAAAATATAAGTTATATTTAGCGGGGGTACAAGGAGTCAGATGGGACGGAGGTGGCATCGCACCAGCAGGCGAATATACATCTTTTTATGGAAAGGGGAATGAAAATCGTGAATTAGGTACCGTTTTTCTTCGTACATAAGAGAATCGTATCAGCAGTTAAGAGGGTAGGGTTCGTTAGTGATAGGACAGAATATATAATAACAAAAGGTCGTTGGTGTGATATTGTTATGAATGTTCACGCCCCAACCGAATATAAAATTTATGATATAAAAGATAGGTTCTATGAAGAATTAGAACATGTATTTGATAAATTCCTGAAGTACCCTATGAAAATTTTGTTAGTAGTTTTCACTGTCAAAGTAGGGAGGGAAGACATTTGCAAACCAACGATTAGAAATGAGGGTCTACATGTAATTAGTAATGATAATGGAGTTAGAGTGCCGGTCACGGTAGCCGAGCGGTCTAAGGCATGCACTGTCTTCGCTCGCTCGGAAGCCGGGATCGTGGGTTCGAATCCCACTCAGGGCATGGATGTTTGTGTGCATTTTTCTGTGTTTGTCAACAGGTAGAGGCCTTGCGACAAGCTGATCACTCGCCCAAAGAGTCCTACCAAATGTGTATGATCTAGTAAACCGAAGTGAAACGGAGAGTTTCATGGAGGTAGGCCTAGGCCCAAATTGGGGCTGTAGCGCCACAGAAAAAAATGGAGTTAGAGTAGTTAACTTTGCTACATCAAAAATCTTACTGTCAAAAGTACAATGTTGCCACATCGTAACATCATAAAATTACTTGGACATCTCCTGATGGAAAGATACACAATCAACTCGACCATATTTTGATAGATAGGAGACGGCATTCAAGTATACTTGATGTCCGATCATTCAAGGCAGCAGATTGTGATACTGACCACTACCTGGTGGTGGCAAAGGTTAGGGAAAGACTGGCAGTGAGCAAACAAACAACACGCAGAGTTCATATGGAGAGGTTCAATCTCAAGAAATTAAATGAGGTAGAGGGTAAAGAGCAGTATAGGCCGCGCCATAGCTCAAGCGGTTAGACGCTGGCTTCCCACGGCTACGGCCCGGGTTCGATCCCGGTTCTGGTCAAGTGGGATTTGTGGTGGACAAAATGGCGCTGGGGCGTTTTCTCCGAGTACTTCGGCTTCCCCTGCCAATCTTCATTCCACCAAATTCTCCATCATCATAATCACCCGGGGCAGGTACAATAAGCCAATCAGTGGCCGCCATGCCGAGTGGACCCAGCTGGACTCCACCCCCCACTAAGCGAATTAAAAATTAAAAGAGCAGTATCGTCTTGAAATCTCAAATAGGTTCGCGGCCTTGGAAAACTTGGACACTGACGTGGATGTTAACAAACTTGGTAAACTGTTAGAAAGAATATCAAAATACCAAAGAAAATAAGCCAAATTGCAATGGTTACATGATCCAAGCGAAATAAATAGGGATACTCTTAACAATATAAGACGTGAAACCTGCAGGCATTTCAGGAATAAAAAGAGGGAATATCTGAAAGACAGAATTGATGAGCTTGCAATGAACAGTAAGAACAAGAACATTAGAGATGTGTATAGATGAATAAATGACTTTAAGAGGAGTTACCAACCTAGCAGTAACTTAGTGAAGGATGAGAATGGTGTCCTGCTTGCAGATTCCCACAACATAGGTGGAGGAACTACTTCTCTCAGTTATTGAATGTACATAGGGTCAGAGATGTTAGGCAGATAGAAATGCACACAGCTGAGCCGTTAATACCTGATCCCAGCCCTTTTGAGGTTGAAATTGCTATTGCAAAATTGAAAAGGTGTAAATCGACACATTGTGATCAAATTCCGGCAGAACTTGTTTAAGCAGGGGGCGAAATATTTCGTTCTAAGATCATAAGCTAATTACTTCTATTTGGCATATGGAAAATTGCCTGATCAATGGAAGGAGTCTATTATTGTACCAGTTCACAAGAAGGGTGATAAAACTGACTGCAGTAATTATTAGGGGATATCACTACTATCAACTTTATACAAAATGTTATCCAATATTCTTTTCTCAAGGTTAAGTCCATATATGTATAGATGAAATTATTGGGGATCATCAGTGTGGGTTTCGACGTAACAGATCGACTACAGATCAGCTCTTTTCCATTCGTCATATATTGGAGAAAAAATGGGAGTACACTTGAGCCATGCACTGGCTCCGGTATGACGTCATGGGCTTCCAGCCCCTTGATCGAGGTTCTTAGACTTATCCTCCACCCCATCCCCATGCGGGACTGGGTCACGTGGTGTTGCCCTCTCCCCTCCTTTCTACCCCTGGGAGCCTTGCTTGGAAGTTAATTCGAGTTCGGAGTTGAGTTCTGGTTATGGATCCATAGGGCCTTGCTCGCGGCGCCGAGCCAGCCGGAGCGACTGTCAAATTCCTGTTCGGCTGGGAGTCCAAATTTGGTTTCGGCAAGTACTGGGCTGGTTCGCGGCCGGCGAGATCGCCCGCGGTCGCCCGTCGTTGGGTTTGTAGGACGGCGGCGACTCGTACCAGTTTGGTTAAATCTGTTTTTATAATTTATATTGTGTATTTAGTTTAGACTCAGCCTGTGGCCCGGCTATAATGTAGTAGTTATGTTTTCATGCAACCAAGGCAAATTGTTGCGCCAGTAAATATGGGCCATTCTGCCCGAGTTAGATGCCGCTGTGTGCGAGCATGTAAATGTGCAGTTAGTTCAGTTGTTCTGTTTAATTTCTATTGTGTTTATTAAATTCTGTTATTTGTTAATATATTGATTGCCATCATTTGTAACTAGATTTACTTCGCTGCTAGCTTGGATCCCTTACACTAACTTAGGGAGCGTGCGAGCACAGCACGAGAGCCATATGACAGATCAACGTTTCCCCCTCCGATTGAGGAAGGGTAGACGGAGCCGAAAGGTGCCAGAGAGTGACGGTGCTGTGGTAGCAGACCGTAAGACGGTACAAGTGGTACATATAGTACCAGAGCGGACAGACGGCTCACACTGAGACAGGACCTCAGCTGTTTGTAGACTTCAAGAAAGCCTATAATTCAGTTAGGAGGGAAGTATTGTACAATATTCTGATAGAGTTTGGGATACCCATGAAACTAGTTAAGCTGATTAAAATGTGTTTAAACAAAACTTATAGTAAAGTCCGTATAGTTAAACATTTGTCTGATAAATTTCCTATCCAGAATGGTCTAAGACAAAGAGAAGCTTTATCGCCATCCCTTTTCAACTTTGCTTTAGAATATGCAATTATAAAGGTCCAGGGAAGCCAGGTGGGGCTGAAATTAAATAGGACACATCATCTGTCGGTCTATGCCGATGATGTGAATCTACTGGTTGATAATATAGATACCATAAAGGAATATACACAAACTTTAACTGACGCAAGCAAGGAGGTTGGTCTAGAAGTAAACACAGAGAAAACGAAGTACATGTTCCTGCCTCGTCACCAAATATCAGGACAAAATCATGACATAATCATAGGTAACAGATGTTTTCAAAATGTGGCACAGTTCAAATATTTGGGGACTACGACAACGAATCTAAACCTGATTGAGGAGGAAATTAAGAGGCGATTGAACTCGGGTAAGGCTTGCTACCGTTGAGTCCAGAACCTTTTGTCTTGTCTGCTGTCCAAAAACATAAAAATTAGAACATACAAAACTATAATTTTGCCTGTGGTACTGTATGGGTGTGAAACTTGGTCCCTCTGACATTAAGGGAGGAACATAAACTGAGGGTGTTTGAGAACAGGGTGATGAAAATATTTGGACCAAAGAGAGATGATGTGACAAGAGGTTGGAGAAAACTGCATAATGAGGAGCTTCATAACTTGTACTCTTCTCCAAGTATAATTAGAATGATCAAGTTGAGGAAGACGAGATTGGCAGGGCATGTAGCGCGAATGAGGGAGAGAAAAGGAATGCATATAGGATATTGGTGGGATAGCCAGAAGGAAAGAGACCACTGGGAAGACCAAGGTGTAGGTGGCTGGACAATATTGTGACGTATAAAATGCTGGGAAATTCTTGAGTAGCTGCAGATTTGGCTTCTCCTCAAGAAGGCCTCAGCTCCATAAGTAAGTACTCAAGAACTTCCTAATATTTTATGGAACCTGAAGGTTTATTACCGTGTTCACAAGAACCTTTTATTGGCCCCTATCGTTAGCCAGATCAATCCAGCCCATACCAC